ACCCAAATATTCCTGCCACTTAAGGTGCTTAGTAAAAGAATATTTGTTGAAATAACATCCAAATTGATATAGTAGTGTGTCTAAAAACACACACACACACAACAAACCAACTTTGCTAAAAGTAGGTATGAATAATAGTGAAAAAAGGTTGAGGGTCTTGCTTGAATACATACAGACTTGCAACAATGTCTGTACACTTTCTAATTTTCATGCATATTCTAGATAGAAGATTCTAGATAGAATATGCATGAGAATACCAAAGGATTTCATTACCATCCTGACAGACAAAAAATAACAGTGGTAAGTTAAAAAAAAAAAAAACTTATAGGCCCTCTCTGGTGGTGCAGCGGGTTAAAGCACAGCACTGAGAATCTTAAGCCACTTCCACATGAGTTCGATTCCTGCCTGCCCCGGAGGTGACCACATGGTGTGGCAGACCTCTCCTGACCCACCCGCTGCTCCCCTCAGCAGTGTACTTCCTCGATCTGCCTGTTCTGCTCCCCGCTCTGTCTCTGGTGAAGCCTCTCACCGCCCTTGAGCTTCTGGCCTGTTCCCCAGTTCTGTATGTACAAATAAATAAATCTTTAAAAAAAACAAACTTATGAAATGTGTATGATTATATAAAACTTAGTATTATCTAAAAATTTTTCTTCTTTTAGACACATATTTGACTTACTACAAAGGACTAAGGAATGTCATGGCCATCCTTATATTTTTCTTCAAAGACTTATTTATATATAAATACAGGAACTGGGGTATATGCCAGAGCTGCATGGAGTGGGGAGGGGCTGAGAGGATTCACCAGAGACAAAATGGGGAGCAGGACAGGCAGATCTACTGAAATACAATGCTGAGGAGAGCAGTGGGTGAGGCGAAAGAGATCTGCTGTGCCATGTAGGTCACCCCCCAGTCTGAGGATCAAACCTGTGCTGCAGTGGCTGTACTTGGTAACCTTTGTGCCACCAGAGACTCCAGAGACTCCATCCTTTTATTATCTTAGGGGTTTCCTAGGAGTTGTTCTTAGCATTGAGATATAAAAACAAACCTGTCAGTAATTTCTCCCTCCATGAAACTTACATTCTAGATATATAATATGAAAAACAAATAAAATCAGCATCAAAAGGTCCTACATTCAAAACTGAACTATTTTTTCTTCAAAGTTCAACTTCTCTTCCCAAATTCCTTTCTAAATTATGCTGTCATTTCTTGCAGCACGCACACACACACACACACACAATCTGATTTATCCCAGGCTCTATTTTCCTAATTCTCAGCAACAATTTGCATGTAGCCTCTTCCAATCCATCCTTAATGATGCAAACAGTAATTATGAAATACAAAATTATGAAATCTTTCTTTTTAACTTTTTAGTAGCTACTTATTATGGTAAAATGCACACTTCATAGTAGAGGGTTTAACATGACTAGCATACTAGTTTTGTCCTCCCTGCTCTTCTGTATAACCTCTCTAAGTTTCTTCTTAGCATTTTACTGGCTACAGGTATAAAAAGTTCTTCACCAAGTGGCCCCTTTAAACTGTCTTTTTACAAGTTACTTTTGTTAACAGTGACTTCATTACTACAAGGGAAATGCAAATCACAACCACAATATTTCACCTGGCCCCTGTGAGAATGTCCTGTAACAAAAAAAAAAAAAAAAAAAAAGGAAACAACTAATATTGATGAGGATATGGGGAATAGGAACTCTAATCCACTGTTGAAGCTAGTACAGTCTAGTTCAGTCTCTACGGAAAATGGTATGGAGACACCTTAAAAAAAAACAAAAATGGAAATTCCATATGACCTGCAATACTTCTGTAATGAATTTACCCAGAGAATACAAACACACTAACATGAAAGACTTTTATACTCCTACGTTCCTAGCAGCACTTCTCACAATTGCCAAGTTATGGATCCAACCCTAAGTGTCAAATAACAGAACGGGATCAAAGAAACTGGAATACATGTTCAGTGGAATATTATTCACATAGTAAGAAGGATGAGATAGTGCCTCATCCTTGAGGTCCATTTTTTGTGAAAAAAAATGGACCTCAAGGTGTCTAAAAGACAGATATTGCATGATTTCACTTATGTCTGGGATAGAAATAACTAAAAAGCACATATTGGCAAAAGATAGCAAAAGCAATTTTTTTAGACTTTGTAAAAAGTATCCTGGTTACCAGAAGAAAGGGTTTGGAATATAGCAGACAGGGAAAGGAAAAGATTAGGACATTGGCATTGGAGGTTTGGCGGAGAATAACCAAAGCATGTGGACCTATGGGGAATAAATATGTAACATATATGTTTACATATATAGGCTGTCAACAACTGACAAATTAATAAAAAGATTTAATAAAAAGGCTTAATGTTCATTTTTCTTAAATGTAGTTCAGTGTTTGGTTCAAAACAGACATTAAAAATGGATAAAATTAAAGTATTACTTTTAATAACTCATGTCATGTAAATATGGATGCCCCATTCAACATGATACAGAACATAGACTTATTTACTTGGAAAGCCATTTGATTTAAAAACACACCTTTCTATTAAGCTGTTTCCACTAACAGCTTGCTTCTACTACTCTGCTTTGTGGGTAATTTTACATATACTCAGTTTCATCTGCTAAAATATACATTAGCAATAAAGAATTTCAGTTCTTGAATATAAGCCATAGAAATCGAGTCACCTATGTAACATAATATGAAATTGAAAGAACTGATCATAGAGGTTAAAGTCAAAAGTAAAATTAGTGACAGAAACTTGAGATACTACACTAATGTAGTATCAGAAAACTACTCTAATGGAATCTGGGAGGGTCACATTGTAAGTAAGAAGGCAATAAAAATGAAATCTAGAACCAATAAAACATACACAAAATTAGCAAATATTTACAAATTAATTAGGCACTAGGAATAGCAAAATGCATTTGATTTTGTATCCTAGCTAAAACAAAGTAATTTGCAAATATCTCATTTACTGGGCCTCGTAAGGACAGTAAACCTTTGTTTCCTAGTACCTGCTGATAAACAGAAATTTATAGAACACTACTGTGTTCTTATAGTATAGTACTTATTGATAGTGTTACCACACAGCCATAACTTATTTACTGCAGATGGAATTAGACTGCTATATATGATTTCAAAAGATTTATGTTTCATTTTTATTTTTTAAATTGTACTAACCTTAAGTGCTTTATCAGTATTTCAATTATTTCCACCCACACATCTATGATTTACACTCTAAATAATGGTAAAAAATAGATCTTTTTAAAAATAAGGTATCTTAAATGATTTTTTAAATACTTTATAGACATAAGAACAGGCTTTCATTTAAAGTTTCATAGTAAATTGAGTAATAGCCAGTTAATTTTCTTAATAGATTTTAACACTGATAAATTTTTCCTATGATGCGTGACTCCTGTCAAGATATTTACTAGCACAGATTATACAAGATATGCCTATGTTTACCTGTTACCTATCATATGGAGAGGTCATTACATTTCAGACCCCTACATGTAGATTTAGGGTAGAGCTCTGGATGCTAGTTTTTCAGGGATGCTGCTGGTCGATGAACTAGACCTGCATTGCCAATCTTGAATCACTGGTTTTCAGCCTCGATGCTTATTAGATCATTTGAGGAGCATTGGGGAGGAAAACAACAAAACATTTCTAGGAGTGATTATTTAGCCTGGGTATTGAGTTTCAGGTCAGGCTAAAAGAGAGCTAAATTTGTGCCTGACATATTGGTTAAATTTTTCTATTGATTTTATTTTCCCTGGTATTGTTATAGCAGTTAATAGAGCTAGAAATAACACAATGTATTAGTAATCAATACTGCGTGCTATGAATAAGATATTAATGTTAAGAATCTTAGTGGTATCACTTCTAACATTTATATACCAAATTTATATAGCATGCTTTGGAATTGTATGACAGTCTCAACTATTTTTAGACTAGATTATTTATGAATTATAACAATCTGAACTATTTTTAGATTAAGAGATAGATGAAAATATAAATATATGATTTTAAGGTATACAAAAATGTCTACTCTTAATTACTGATAAAAAATTTCAGATTAAGGAGCTCATAAATCCCATCATGGCACTTTTATCAGAAGGCTCACATAGAAAGATCAAAAGTATACTTGAAGTGGGCACACTGATCCTAGTTATAAACTATATTCTTTATAGTCTTTCATGATTATTTTGTAAAGTAGAGGTTTGCAATTAATTTCCAAGGCTCTATCCGTAAGTGTTGGAAATGCACATTGAACACTTAAAATCCACCAAGAATATATTTTTACCAAGGTTGGTTTAACAATCTCTTAAGACAAATATTTATTTTAATCTTCAAGAAAAAAATTTCTACTATTTGGCTATCATAAACATTTTTAAAACATGGAATGTAAAAGTGGAGAGGAAAGGGATCATTACACAGTGCAAGAACACCATGCACCAAGAAAATAAACAATGTAAACTGAGGATAAATGAGCTATTAAAAAGTTTTTCTGGCCCTCCCTGGTGGCGCAGCGGGTTAAAGCACAGTACTGAGAATCTGAAGCCACTTCCGCATGAGTTCGATTCCCGCCTGCCGCCTGCCCCGGAGGAGACCACATGGCGAGCCAGACCTCTCCTGACCAGCCCGCTGCTCCCCTCAGCAGTGTACTTCGTAGATCTGCCTGTTCTGCTCCCCACTCTATCTCTGGTGAAGCCTCTCACTGCCCCTGAGCCTCTGGCCTGTACCCCAGTTCTGTATGCACAAATAAATAAATCTTTAAAAAAAAAAAAAAGTTTTTCTAAGGAAAACTTTCAAAGCATTAAATACAGGACTTCATGTTCTATTCCTAATATATAGACACTGTATTAAATACACAAAACTTTTGTTGCAGAGTACTGTAACTCCCAAATTCCTTATAAAAACATTTCAATTAAAAGAGATGGTAAAACATGTATAAACTGTTTCCCTTTATTGTTTTGTTCTCAAACACATATCCTGCCAACTGAATACATGTCCTGACCACCACCAAATACCTAATGTGACCAAATAAATGAGACATCCCTGTTAAGAATCACAAAGTGCCACTCCAACAGCTTTCTGTCACAAGGAAGCTGAGAAATTTTATTGAAACAATGAAGGAGTAATGAGATACAAGGAGGACTCAATTTTAAGTTCCAATCATTAATCTTCTTCAGAACTGGAATCATCCTCTTGGTCAGAGAGGTCAGGGACAGGGAAGCGCAGTATGGCAGCTACTCCAGTCAATTGGCTGAGCTGTTCCCCAGACACATGAAGACTGGAGAATATCCTAACAGTGCCTGCATTCTCTTTCACACTGTCCACCAAGCGCACATATCGGCTCCGTGTGGCTACATCCTGATGCCTGAAGAGCTCATCACTGATGAGCAATGTGTCAATTGCCAAAGCTTCGTTGGCCTTCTCCACCTGCTTGAGTCCATAAAATGCTCGGTCAGGTTCATGTTGTAGCATTTTATAAAAGTCATCCAAGGCTTTCACTTCTCCAGCAGCTTTAGTGTCTGAAAGGCGACTAGCTACAGTAGGATCACAAAGGGCCTCTTTCAGGGAGTACTTGTGTCCAGAGGAGGCATGTACCTAGAATCACAATTACAAAAGTTAGACAAAAAAACCTCTTACAGCAAATATTACTCAGTCCACAAATGACCTAAAGTCATTAAGCACTATAATAAGGCTTTATATGTTTATAGACTTCAGCAAAATTATTATAAAAATTTGCCAGCTATTTTAGTTCTCTTTTTGTCTCACAGTACCAATCAAATACAAATGACTTCCTCTCTCCTTTTCTTTCTTTCCCAGTTTTAAAGCTTTAAGAGCAATTTACACCAATCCCTCTCCCCAATTTCAATTATCCCTGGGTAAGGCTTTTACCTGCAGAAATTTGGACCGGTTTTCCAGAAGCACTTTGTTGTCGGTTTTCACTGCTTGTTGAAACATGTAGTCGCAGAACTGCTCTCTCACAAATCCTGGGCTGGCCACCAAGATGCACTTCACAACATCGAAGTGTATGTGGCGTTGGATGGCCTGGACCACTTGTTCATAGAACCGCTCTAAGGCCCGGTCATGCTGGGAACAGTTGCCTTTACGCTTCCTAGGGATGTTCACTTCCACCTTGGCCCGAGTAAGGGTCATGCTGGGAGTGACTAAGCAGATATGGGCAAGGCCTTCCTGCATGACCACAGCTGCCACATCAGCACTCCAGGCTGGGTCACAGGCCTGCTCGATGCGCTCCAGAACCACACTGTCCCACTGTTTCTTGGCCAAGGTGAATTGGCGGTTGGGTTCCAGCTCGATGGTGTGGTAAGCCCCCATCTTGACATACTCATTCTCTTGGATGTTAGTCCCTTTGACCCGCAGCTGGCAGGCTTGAGAATCGAAGTCAATGGCCTCCACACAAAGAGTGAGGGTCGTGCGGACCCGGTTGCTTCCCACGCTGCCTGTGGAAGACTCGGTCTGTACCTTTCGGATGGTGGAAGCGCGCAAGCTGTCGCCCACCTGCACTAGATTGTAGGTGTGCCACATGTCCTCAGGTTCCTCGGGCACCAGGGTCACCTGGCCGGCACTGTCTTTCTCAATGTCTTTCCTCACAAGCTTCATGACCTTGGCAGGGCTCAGAACCAAGTTGGAAGAACCCAAGAGTCCCCAAAGGGGAAGTGTACGGAGGGGGAGTGGGGGGGTGGTCTAGGCCGGGAAGGGGGCGGGGTCCGGTTCCAATAAGCACTTGTCTGGTAGAAAGGGAACACTCTTAATTCCGACGCAACAGCCCCCGGGGAACACTTACTTTAGCCCTTCTCTTCTCAATCTCCGGTAGCCGCGGGCCGAACAAAGGTAAGAAACACGGCGGCGAACGCTTTACTCCCTGTGGTTCCAGCAGCCAGCAGGGACCTGGCGGCTGATGCAACGAAGGCGCAGGCGCAGCCCGCGTCCCGACTCCCGGCGCATGTTTTACGTTCCAAAAGGGGGCAGTGGCCGCGCAGCCGCACTAAGCGAGGAAGCGCTTCCGACGAGTAAGGGAGTTCCCAGTCTTTGGTGGCGCATCTTTTACTTTAACGCTGAACTTGGACTTCCTAAGTTGACTTTTCCATCCCTGTTGGTGAGGAATATGGGAAGTATGCGGTTGTAAATGTGTGTGTGTATGTGTGTGTGTATGTATACACATTTTTTTTTCAGCCACGTACAGTTGCTAGTTTACACTCTCTTCTCCGATCCAATTTCAAAACTTACCTAAAAATAAAAGGAACACTCAAAAATGCAGGTTTAGGCCTTAGAATCAAATTATGATCGCATTTGCGCCTGCCTTATCCGCACTCAGATATTCCATGTCCAGTGGAGTTGGGATGTCCAGAAGGCATTCCTAAGAACAACTGGTTATGGACGTTCTGGGCTCTGAGCAAAAGCTGCCGAGCTGTTTTCTGCTTTGGTTACCGTGTCTAAAGGATCTAATTAACCCAGAACCCAAAATTGGCAGCCTCATCTCTCCGCAGCTCAGTAGCCTGGGAAATGTTAAGGTTGGGGGGCTGGGCTTCACTACCAAAGCTGAGCAGCAGAGTTGAGCTGTGGAATTGTATTTCTCCTCCAAAGTATGCCAAGAAATAAAAAGTCATAGGGGAGGAAAATGTTAGGTTTTATTGATGAGGTATTATTTTTTATAATCTAAAATTCAATTTTTTTAAATGAAGTAGCACTTCATTATAACATACAAGTGTCAGCTGCACAGCACCGAAAATTAGCATGTGTGCATACTACATTAATTTTATCAGTAAAAGAACAGCATCTATCATTTACTGAATATTCACCAGGTACTTTCTTATGCTTTTTCTAATCCTTACTTCAAAGGCAAATATTTATTATCCTTATTTTATAGGCAAAGAAAGAGAATTACAGAGAAGAAATATATTCATGATCATACAACCAATCTTCCGCTTCAGGCCACCTTAACACCTCACCCTGTTCTCTTTCTACTAACACTATACTTTATTATGGATGCTTGAAATCATCTCCACACTCATAAATTACATTCTTTTATCCTTTGTCATTTCCCCTCTACTGTCACCATTATCATTACAATCCAACAGCTTAGGAACCAACTTAAAGAACTTGCTAAGCCCAAGTCCTTTTTGGGCACTTATATTTAAAGCATATTTTATATTTCTCTTTTTTAAATATAGTTACCAATTTGCCCAGTCTAGTTCAATCTGCTCGAGAAAGATCTACTATTCTACTTCAAAAAATATACATATATTATATTCTACATTTAAAACCTGTGGTAAACCCACACAGGTAAAACGTGTGTATGTGTATTTCACAATGAGGCAAGAAAACGGTTTTGGGCTGTCTCTTTAAATAGGAGTGTACTCAAGTGATTGAACATACTGCAAAATTTTCATAGAATCACTATTTGATTTGAAACATCTATAGCAGAACTTTTTTTTTTTTAAAGATTTATTTATTGATACAGAACTGGGGTACAGGCCAGAGATGCGGAGGGTGAGAGGATTCACCAGAGACAGAGCGGGCAGCAGAATAGGCAGATGGACGAAGTACACTGCTGAGGGAGCAGTGGGCGGGTCAGGAGAGGTCTGCCACGCCATGTGGATCTCCTCCGGGGCAGGCGGGGATCGAACTCATGCGGAAGTGGCTTTAGCTTCTTAGTGCTGCCCTTTAACCCGCTGCGCCACCAGGGAGGGCCTATAGCAGAACTTTTTAAAAATAACTTGCATTTAATTGCTAAAAGAGCATGTTTTCTTTCAGATTTTCTGCTGCAACCTGGTATTTCTAGAGCCATCATTATCTTTGATTTTGAATTGGAATTCCTACTCTCTATTAATTAAAATCCAAATTACTGATTTTTAAGACCTGCATGGTCTGGCCTTACAAGTTTTATTCCCCCACTTTTCCCACCTTGCCAACCTGTATTCCATTATGGAACTAGTGTTTGTTCCTCATACATCCTGGAAACTTTCTGCTTTGCCTTAGCTGATGCTGTTGGCTACTTAATTTTAATTTCCTCTGGTGCCTACTTGTACAGATTCTATTTATCTGTCAGGACCTGTTTACATATTATTGAAACCATGCATTATATTCATTGAAATACCTATTTTTTTCTTGCTTATTTAATTCTGGATGGATCCATCCACTATTTCTTGAAAAGTCACTTGCATAATTATGGTAAGCTAAGTAGATTAGATGTAAAGTGTGGCACTTATAATAATATCACAGACAGCTCTTAAGACACTGATACTATTTAAACTATAGTTCGTTCAATCTAATAATGGTATTTTAAAAAGCAATTCCTCTTATTTTAAAACCCTTTTAGTGTATTTATGGCAGTTCCACGGTATACACCAATAAATAGTGTTTTCAAATTAGCACAATCATTAAAGAAAGCATGATTTAGCTTTGTTGTTTTAAATTCCAATTTTTACTCACATATTGGCTTTTAAAAAACAGAAATCTCTGTATCAGTAACTTTGTATCTGTTTATTCTATAGCATTTTACTTTTATTGCTTTCTCCAGGAAAAAAAAAAAATCTGTGTTGTTAATCTCCAAAAGTTTTCAAGTTATGGTTTTCATATATTTTCTTTTTTTTAATTTT